TATAAAAATACAGAGTGATTCAAATGACCAAAAAAAAAAAAATTGTTGAATATCGCTACAATCTATATGTTTTTGAAATCTTCATGGTTAGAGCTTTCTACTAATGAAAAATTATTGAAATCAGAGCATATTGAAAAAATTGTGTATACAGAGTGATCCAAATGAAAAAAATAAAAATACAAATTGAATCAAATAACAAAAAAAAAAAAATTTTTGATAATAGCTACAATCGATATGTTTTTGTTTTCTACATCGTTAGAGCATTCTATTACTGCAGAAATAATTAAAATCATAGCATTTTTAAAAAATTGTGTATACTGAGTGATCCAAATGAAAAAAATAAAAATACAAATTGAATCAAATGACNGAGTGATCCAAATGAAAAAAATAAAAATACAAATTGAATCAAATGACAAAAAAAAAAAATTGTTGATTATAGCTATAATCGATATGTTTTTGAATTCTTCATCGTAAGAGCATTCTACTAATGCAGATAATTGAAATCAAAGCATTTTTAAAAAATTGTAAATACAGAGTGATCCAAATGAAATAGATAAAAATACAGAGTGATTCAAATGACATATAATAAATAATAAATTGAATATCGCTTCAATCGATATGATTTTAACATGTACATCTTTATAGAATGTTAGTTATGCAGAAATAAGTCAATTCAATGCATTTTAAAAAATTGTGTCTACTGAGTGATTCTATGAATCTAATCCATTGGTCAAATTTTTTTTTTTTAAATAAAGTATATTACATAAGTTTTAATTTATGGTTTATATAAAAATGTCAGTATTTCTGGAACACTTTTAAAATTAAATTGAAATTACGCGTGTTAATTTTTTTTCCCCCTTGTATAAAGGGAAATGTTCTGATTTACAAAAGTATGTCAGATGAAAGGGGTATATAAAAATCATTTTATACAAAATAATAATATTGATCCATACATTTTTCCAAAAGTTATAGCAAATTAAATTTAATATTATTAAACGTTTTTCTTTTGTCTAAAGGTCTAATTTTTTTTTCAAAATTAAGTATATTCTATAATCTTTAATTTAAGGTATACATATAAATTTTAGTCTTTCCGGAACATTTAAGTTGAAAATGTTAGTTTTTTGTAAAAAAGTTACTATTTTGAAACCCTTCTTTTGGGCTTGTAAAGGGTCAAATGTTCACAAAAATATATAAAATGATAGGTAAATTTACCTAAGGTATCTATAAAAAAAAATTATATTGATTCGGTAATTTTTAAAAAAGTTATGGATAGTTTAAGTAAAAAAAATTAAAAAAATGTCGAAAATTAGCGATTTTTAAATTTGTAATTTTTTCGGGGATTTCCTCCGTTTACGGGGAAAGAGGGATTTTTTTTCAATTTATTAGGGTTATGTCTTCGACTAGATATCAATTGTGATCTTTTGACATATTTTTCATCAAAATCAGTCCAGCGAGAAATGAGATTGAGCGTATACAGACACAAAAAATAATAAAAAAAAAAAACATATCATAGTAAAATTAGTACCTTAACAGCTTCGCATCAAAGCTAAAATTTCGGACTTTATTTTGTCTTCATGGTGAAATTTGCTACCGTAATTAAAAATTAGCTATTTTTGTGTTAAAATTCTTGTTTTTGTATTTTATTTTATTATAAGGGGATTACACTAATTTTCATAAATATTATATCAATCTAATTGACATAGTATAAAAAGTTAAACATATTTAAATTTTTTTGTTTCTTTGATGTCCAGAAAAATAACTTCATATTTTGAACTAGCTAAATTTCCATAATTAATAAGTGACGAATGTGACGTAAGGTTTCTAAGGCAGTAACACTTGGGTCTTTCACGCTTGTGGCACTGAAGTTTTTCTTAATTCTTTTTGAATTAGAAAAAAATGTTTAACTCATTTGATTTTTATCTCATTTAGATTCAATACCTTCAATAAATATCAAGGATCTCATTACTGTAGTATATCAATACTGTAATCTAACACTTTACCTGCCCAAAGGGGGGATATAAAATGACAACTTTTTCACAAAAAATTAACTTTTTCATTTTAACTTTTGGAAGTGTTCCGGAAAGTCTAACAATTTTATGTATATCTTAAATTAAAGCTAATATCAGTGGCATGCCCAGGAATTTTAAATTTTAATTATAATTTAACTAATAGGTATTAATACAACTAAATACATTTAATGAAGGTGAAAAAATTAGAAAAAGATTAATAAGAGGTCTTTATAGGTAGAGCCTCATTAAAATATTTATTAATATTTTGTGTTTTGTATGATATGATGTAATGTTGTTATACAAATATACAATGTAATAATTACTACTTTATTCAATTATTGCTGCTAGGTACTCGATGCTAGAAAAAAAAACGCAATGGGGAGGGATATGACCCCTAATCCCTCCCCTCCTGAGCATGCCACTAGCTAATGTAATATACTTTATTATGAAAAAAAAAGAATTCGGACTTTATTTTGTCTTCACAGTGAAAATGACTACTAAATACTATTTTTGTGTGAAAATTCTAGATTTTATTTTTTACATTTTTAACTTTATAATGCTATAACTTATTGAAAAATGTATGGATCAACACAATTTTTTTCTGAGAAATAATATTTATATACCTTTTTTATTCGACATACTTTATTTTAATCAGGATATAAATAAGAAAATAGCAGATCATGTAGCTTTTGGAATAATCCACCAATTTTTAAAAATAAACACTATCTAAAGATTTGCATCGAAGCGTTTTGTATGGTAATGATTTTAATCACTGTCAGATATCATTATACTTGATCCAACTATGCCACGTCACCACTGTGCCACGACCCCCCTATGCTGGGTTTGTTATTATGTTTTTTACATTTCTTTTATTAAATTTTTAACTAAAATGTATAGAATACTATTATATTAACTAATTATGCTACATTATATTAATATTATATGTTACATTGACTACAACCATAGTTTTTGATACTGCAAATAACTAGACATTTTTGAGTCAGATTGAACAATAAACGTATTGAGTAATACTTACATATAAAAAATTAAAATAAAGTTAATAAAAAACTAAAATATAAACTTTATTTTTTAAATTTTTTTTCTGTTATCGTTTAATTGTCTGAGTAAAGAATAAAAAAATATTTAATAAAATATATAAAGTTTATTTATTTACCAAGTAAATTTTATTTATAACTATTAAAATTGTTTCTTCAATTTAAATCCGAGTAGAAATTATTTTAAGGCTTTTAAACTAAAATTGATATCTTCATTTATTTTTTATTTCAGAATAGTGTAGAGATCAGTGGTGTAGTCCTAAAAATGTTTATGGGTATACGCCTATATAATGAATAGAGAATAACGTGGGGGGCTCCGCCCCCCACACCCCCATTGCACTTTACATTTTCTACATACAATATTTCACATTATCAACAGTGATATAGTCGTAATTTGATAAATAGATAAGTTAAAAACCTAAATGAGGAAACGTGGGGAATTTCACCCCCACACTACATTTCAAAGGCCTTAACTATAACATAGTTTTGGGGGACGGAATACAAATATTGTGATATTTTAACTGTGTTAAAAATATGTATTTTCTAATTATTACATAATGCAACTAAAACTCCTAACCCTCCCAGTTGCTCCTTTCAACTTCCAAACTATTACTCGAATATTTTTACTGACACTTCTAAGTTCTTACATAAATTAAATTTCATAGTCATATAATCGATATGTGTATTATTAGATACTGTTATATTTTTTATAAATAAACAATAAACTTTATGCAGTAATAAAATAATCTTACAATCATTGTTTTCAAATCGTTAAAACATAAATGAAATAAACGTGAATAGGTACATGTTAGTACTATCTTAATTCATTATAGGTAATATATTAAATACTAGATTGGTTGGTAAACGGTTTATTACGGAAAAATACAAATTACCAATTTCAACAGCTATAGGTTAACCCAATAACTTTCAGTTTCAACTTAGTATGTGCTATATCGTTAATTTCTGATCGATGTTTTAAATTTTGTCAATAAAATTGTCGTGAAATGATAAACATTATCCTATTTATTTATACACTTTGACAGTATTTTGTTTTACATTTATATTCTATTTTTAAAATGATAATAGTCTCGAGCCATATTTGTATGTTTATAACTTCAGATATATGTTTATATGTGGTATGACTGTAGACATTAAACAAACTGATAAGAGTTATTCAAAATTTGTATTTTATGACAAACGTACCTATATTCGATACCCACGTATTACTTTTTATTTTATTCTTTAGTCTATACTCTTTAACTATTTTATAAATACGTATATGCACTAATAAAAAAACTAACAGTGGGTATACGCCGTATACCCGCGTATCACTCATGATTTTATAAGTATACGCAATAACAGAAAAATAAAGAAGTGGGTATACGCCGTATACCCGCGTATACGATCCACGACACCTCTACTAGAGATGTTTGTGTGTAAATCTATTATATGACACAAAGTATTTAGTTTTTTTTTTTTCAATTTTTCAATTTATCGTATGAACTAACTCGTATGAATTTCTAAATAATGAGATATTTGAGATCCTAAATATATTTATCCATATCTATATATTATTGAAAATGTATTCTTAATAACATGTTTTTTTTCGGTTACCAAGATAACCGTGTTTGTCACTTTTCTTATGATTTGTTATGTGTCAAATAATAATTTACACCTTCTATTAGAATCTCTATTTATATTTCTATCATATATTTAAAGCATATTATGTACGCGGTAATATTTTTCAAACAATTTTAGGCACCACTTAACTATATTTCTGCGGGAAAAATTAAAAACAAAATCTATCTGTATAGCAGAGATAGAAATTATACTTCAAACAAACTTTATTATTTATTAAACATTCATTAAATGTTGATTTCTTTTCATTTTAGCTTCGATGTGAAGCTTAGAAGGTATTAATTTTACCATGATGTGTTTTTTTTTTTGTGTCTGTCTGTTGCCATTTTTTCTCAGCTATCACTGGGCCGATTTGTTTCAATGATACGTTAAAATATCACAAATCGTATCTAGTTGAAGACATTACCCTTAAAATTTGAAAAAATTTCCCTTGTTTCATGTAAATGGCGCAAATCCCCCAAAAAAACCAACCAATCTGTAAATTTTAACATTTTTTTCTTAAAACTGCTATAACTTTTTAAAAAATGAACAAATAAACATAACTTTTTTTTTATATTAAAACCTTACGTATTTTCTTTTCATTTGACATAAATTTTGTGGTAATCTGACCTTTTACCTGCCCACAGGGGGTATTCAAAGTAGCAACTTGTTTACAAAACTCAACTTTTTCAACTTAACTTTTGAAAATATTCCGGAAATATTGCGGCCTTTAAACATATGTTAAATTACAGCATATGTTAAGTTCTATAAATTAAAAAAAATTTGCCCCGACGACTTATTTTTTACGCGCAAACAGATGCTGTACTTAAAAAACATTTTATTTTTATGTTAAATTTTATTTTTGTTTGTTTATTTTAAAATACCTTATAAGAGTTTGCCATAGTAATGAGTTCACCAATAAATATAAAATGTACATGAATCTAACTTACATTAATTATAAATTTAAACTCATTTTGATTAATTTTCCACTTCAAATTATTAGAATAGTTTTTTGACTTTTTGAAAACTTGAAAATTTGTTTAATAAATAGAACTCTTTTAACTAAATTTTTGAAAATGTTCCGGGAATACCGAGTCTTTTAAATATATGTTAAAATAAAGCTTTCTTAATGTACTAGAAGTCCAAAAAGAAAATGTACCAATTTTTAATTGACGACCTATTTTCTACGTGTAAATGGCAGTCGAAGTAGAACAAAAAATAAGAGTTAATTTTGCTTTTTGAATAATCCACCAATTAAAATTAAACACTATCTACAGACTGACATCGAAACGTTTCTTTTGATAGTGATTATAATCACTGTCAGATATCATCTATACTTGTCCTACTATGCCACGACCCCACTGTGCTACCGTTTTTTTTTCTGCTGTTTTGCAATTTTGTAAAATCCAAATCTATTTTACCATTGCTCGTTGAGACTTTTACAATATATGAAATATTGGCCAAATAAAATGTTATAAGTATTAGTTTGAATTCATTATATGCATTTGAAGTAAAATATTTTAGATTTTTCAATACGTCTAATGATTAAATTACTTTATTACAATAATTATTAATAAATGGAATAAATTAATTGATCGTAATCGATAAGTTTTTATTTGAAAATGATAAATTTAATTTAAAATTTGTATCCAGCAACTTTAATATGCAACATTGAAATTGTAATATGTAATCATAACACCGTATTATTGTTACATATTAAAAAAATACATTTTTTTATTTGCGCATTGTGTGTACCTAACACTCTGTATAAGTGTACTTATGCGAAATAAATACACAACGTGAGTTATTTGCTTAGTAACCAAATGTCGAGTTCCAATTGATAATATTTAAAAATGAGTTGATCTTCTGTGTAAGTCGGCAGCCCAAGGAGACTGTTACGTCTGAACTGGGCGCCGCCAACCTTCTGAATCCACTTGTTGGCCACAGCTGTGCGTGTACTTTTGACGGCTTACGTTCAATGGCCCCCACCCGGCAGCCACGTCACAAGCGAACGTGATCGTATATATTTGCAAAAAACGGCAGCTCGCTCGGCGTGTGCTTGTCAGTGCGCCACAAGTAGTGCTACTCTAAGTACGGTATTTCCTGTAGTTGGTGCCCGGCAAACGGTGGTAAGTGATTTAGACTAGGAATGCTATTCTTTTGACCAATATATCTACACTAGCGTAGATAATATTTAGTAGTTGTTTTATTTATATTATATTTTATAATATACTCTTAAAAAAAAAGTGACTTGCAGTATATAATTTCGTATAGCATTGATAAATAGGAAACAAGGAAAGAATCCCTATATTCTAAACCCGCTCGAAGGCCAACGAAGTGCCAAATAGTCGTAATTTGACTTTTCTATCGAAAATATGTCAGCACGACGTTCTGTTTAATCGTTTAGTTTGGCGTCATTGCATAAAGTCATGTGCTGTGCGCACGCGCCAAAAGTTTCGATTTCATCCCCGTGTAGTTCGTTAAGCTCTAACTAAATGATTCGCACAGTTAAAAGATTACAGCATACAACTGATGGAGAATTATTCGCCGTCATCTTAATCTAAATTAAATAAATAGATGTTTGATAAATCAGGTTTTCGAAAATCTATAAAAACACGTGGTTTTCAAATTTTAATTATTTTCAAAATTAAAAATATTCCATCATATATTGTCGAATCGCAACATACAATAAGTCAATTTGTGCTTAGTTTGAATTTTTCGTTAATATATTTATATTCATAACAGCTTAGTTTGAGATTCGTCGTATATTTTTTTTTTCATTCAAACGAACCATTGACTACATTTTATAAATTCTCATTAATGAGAATTTGATTATAGTAGGCGCCTAGAAACTGTGATCTTATTGTTAGTTAAAATCTTTTTTGATAAATAGTAGCTAACTTTCTCTTAACTCCTTTTACATTTCTAAATGAAATTATAAATTTTGGTATCTTCGGATTAAATTTGGTAAATAATTTAAATAAGTAATAAACTAATAATTTTTTTTTAAATGCTTTTAAACAAATATTAAAATAAAATAGTTCTAACATGATATTAATAATACTAGAAAAGTCTCGAATTTTTAGTTACTTAAAAAATGAATAGCAACATGTGTTTTTAGCACAATGTTTTACTACATTTCATATAAATAGAAAAGATAATTCTCATTATAAAAAACATATAGTTAATAAAATAATCTTATTTTCAAAACTAAACGAGTGCTAAATATACCTAACCCATTCGAGTTAATTGCTATTTATATATTATAAATGACTACTATAAAATAACTATTATCTATGTATATGTCTGATTTTTAAATAAATTCTTTATCGACTTTTCGATATTTACATATTATTAAATATAAGTTACTTAGAAGATGTCGTTGAGTTTGAATATCTTATCATTCATTGAATTATTATATCACATGTATTAAAAAATATATAAAAATAAATTTAGTCTTAATACTCTGGATACTTATATACTATAGAAATTAGAAAATAATAACTATTTTTATTAAAAACTGAGAATTTTTAAATTTTTTATAGAAAAATTATTAAGTATTTTATCTATATTACAATATTAGCATATATATATATATATATTATTTTTTTTAAATACGAGACAAAATTAATTAACGAATATTTTAATTCAATTTACTTTAACATCAATTTCATCAAAAATATTAATAATATATAAGGTGATTTTTTGTAAACCACTTAATTTTAATTAACTAAAAAATAATAATAAAATTCAAAATATTTTTTTAGTTTCTTTTATTAACACGATTTTCTCAATTTAACAATTATGAAATATTTTTATGTTCATTCCTTATATCTTATAAAAATAGCACCTTAATTTGTTTTAAATAAAATAATTATTTATTAGATACTGTTCAAATTAAGAAAATTATTCGTCTGTTGCAACTTTTAGATCAGTATTATAGAAGTTATTAACACATAAAAATTATAGACTGTAAGTGAGGTGTGGGTTATACTTTTTTTACCATAACGAGTTTATTAGCCGCGTTCATCTTCCTGTCTAAGTATTAAAGTGTAAATAACATCCAAAATACTTATTTGAAACTTATTATCGATCAGTTATTTTCTTTATCTTTTAGATTATTAACTAATAAATAGGCCTGTTACTTTTTAAAAATAATTAAGTTTTTATCCATATAAAGTATGAAAAATAATTCATGGTTGATAAATTGAGAAAATCATATAACTGAAAGTAATCAAAAATATTTCTAATTTTATTTTTAGGTTAGTTAATTCATGGTAAAAGAGTTCCCTTGTCTAAGTCCAGGTTTTTTTTTGTCTAGAAGATGGCCATTGATGAATTAATTATTAAATTATTATTACTATTAAATAATGATCAAATTAGATATAAATTTGATTTGAGTCTTTTACTTATGTGTCATGATTTATAGTTTAAATGATTTATCATAATTTTAATAAGTGAAAAAAAACCTTAATATAAAAATTTTCTATTTAAAATTCAAAAGTTGACGAACAGTATATTATATAGTATCATATACTGTTTATATTTTACTTTCAGTTGTCATCTTGTAGACATTCCATACAACTTTTTGCATTATGTTGGCACTTGTATTTGTTCTAAGCAATAAGTAGACTGGCTGATGTATTCATGAAATTAGTTTGACTTTAAGCATTATTAAATTTAATAAACACAAGGTCACGAAACATCCTTCTTTTTTAAATATTCTATATATGCATTTATAAGAACTATAGTTCTTACTTATCATCAATTTTGGGTCATTGCACTTCACCTGCACCTCCATTTTATGCAATTGATTTATGTGATATGATAAGTAATTTTATATTTGAACAAGGTGAAAGATAATATCTAAAAACACTATTTTACTACATTTCAACTCATCTCATTCAACTAATTCATTCATATATACAGGTGATCTGACAAATCCTTTTATTTATGACAAACCTTCACAACATAATGGGACATCCAATACATATACATAAAAATAAATTAAATATTTAATTTAGACAAATTTAATAAGCTTTCAGATTATTTTCAATTAAGTGACCTTAAAAAAATATATGCATTCTGTAAAAAAAGTTTTCACCTTTAGCGGCCTTAAATTAAAATTTTTTGAACTGTACATAAAATTTGCAATTAAGACTATCTTTGGTTTCATTAAATGTATAACTGTTAAATTGAATTGTTTTTGAAGTTTAAGATACAATAACGAAGTAAATAAGATTTAGTAATTTACTAAACTAGTAACATTATTAAGAATTTGTCAACGAGGAATTTCTATACATTTGGGAAAATGCTCACTTTTTTTCTTCAAACAGAAAAAATTGTACTATCACAATGTAATTCTATTCCAACGATATTTACCGCTTTATTTAGTTAGTTTCTTGCACAATACTAAAGAATAATTTCAATAACAATTTTTATTCTTGCTAGAAATGACAGATAGGTATCTATTTTTCAGTCTACAATAAAAAAAATTGTTTTTTTTTTTTAATGTTTAATTTTAAATAATATGAAAATATTATCGTCAAATTATTACAAAATATTTCATTTTATATTAACTAAAAATAAAAACTATTTGTTCTATAAAAAATTACTTATCAATAAAAATCCATTTTTTTTCGATAATCAACAAAAATTTAATAATGCAAAATTGAAGATATATTGATATAAAATATGCATACTTATGAGTTAGTGTAGTATTTCTTGAAAGTAAATGTAATCTAGTCAAAAAAATAACTAAGAAGTAATATATGTAATATACAAAAGTAGTGTACCAACCTTAAATTTACAAGTCAAAAACTAAAAATGTTTATAGATGAAATACAATTAAGCATTATAGTACCATGAATTATGTTAGTAAATGGTTTCAATTATCTGATATGAAGTAAAAAATAATTTGAGTTATACGTTTAAGTATACCATTTCAAATCTTTATCGTTATTGACCTCTTATCTACCTTATCGTAGACTCATACATTTTTAAGAGTAAAAATAATACAAAATACAAATATTAAAATAAAAAACCTTAATAGTTATAAATTAATAATAGTTATTTTTAATTTTACAAGTTATGAAAATAGTAATACTTTTAGATTGATGCCATAATTTTTTCTTTAATATTTTACTACGACTGTCTTTAAGTATTTTAAATGAAAAATATTCATATCTGACTTTGGTAAACTTTATAAGTTCAATAAACAAATAAATATCAAATCAAATTTTTGACAAAAAATTGTCCTAATTTTAATGGCAAATTATAATTTGTCTGTAATATCAATATGATATTTTATTATTATTGTTGTTGATTAAAAAAATATACTATGCTTAGTAAAATAATAAAAACGTTTTCTTAGTTTTTCAGCTAAAAATAAGTAGAGTTAAAAAAAAAATTATTTAATCAAAACTTATAGTAAAGTAATCTGATTTTGTAAATATGATAGAAATATGATGAAATGTTTATTTTTAATTTTTACTTTATAAGTAATTTAAATAACTAGAAATGTTGCATATTAATGCTGTCAAGTTGTATTAACGGTTAATGAATGATTTAAAAACATTTTTTGGTAATAATTTGTGTTTAGTTCAGGTTTATAATTCTTCTGTTCACAATTTTTTGTCAAGAATTGAAACGTCACAAAATTTTATTACACGCACATCTCTCATATGATTCACGCGATAAAATTCATTTTACAACAACATTAGCTGGCGAATCGCCAAATTTATCAACGTACACTTATATTATTGAAATTTTAAATAAATTATTTTAGAAATACCCCACACGCTTTTTTATACTGCGATTGTTAGTTTTTACTACACATAAATTATCAGTTCATTGACGACAAAATCCACGTGTTAGCATTAATTTAATTCATACTTTTTAAACGTTTTTTTTTTTTTGCTATTGAATATTTAATGATAAGATATTTTTTTACGTGACTCACAGTAGGTCTATCCTAAAACTATATGATAACGATAACCTTATGAATCAATTTTCTTTTTTTTTTAGATTCGCTTTGTCAGTACCAAAATTAAAAAATAACATCTAAAAATGATCCGTTCTTTGTGCAAATTGCAGTCCAAGGTTGTTGGAAAAATGGCTGTCAATGTCCTATTCAGGGGCTTGGCTACCGAATCGCCAGCTAGAATGGAAGACTATTTCAAAGACAAGCGCTTCATCGTTACGGGATCTTGTACCGGTAAGAATTAGAGTTTCAAAATTTTATATTAATTTTTATTTTTCATATAAATTGATTAATTCAAATGTGAATTTTACATAGGCATGGGACATAAAATCACTGAAAGGTTATTAGACTTAGGGGCATTTGTCTTTGCAGTAGTGCAAAAAGAAGAAGGTGCTGCTCCTCCAACAAGCTCAAATATGAAGCAAGTATTTTGTGATGTTTCCGACTGGGAAAATACTTATAAGAAAATGAAAGACATTGGTCCAGTCCATGGCTTAGTAAACAATGCAGGTGTAGCTGTAATCGAACCATTTTTCGATGTGACTGAATATGGTTGGGATAAGTAAGATTATTTTTTGTTTTTACAATATTTTATATAAATTATATTAAGAGCCGGTGACGCAATATTTGAATTTACATAGGGAAGCCACATGAGCGTTCATTTACAGAATATACATTATCAATAAAAACTAATTCCATGCGTTTAAAAAGTCTTTATAAGCGATCATAACGATAAATCCATTTTTTACTACGACACCAGAAAATTATGTTGCACCACTTTAAAGAACTAAGGTTAGGAATTTATATTTTATTTAAATTTCAAGCAATTTTTAACCTTTTAACTTTATATAATACCTATTTACAAAAATTCTAGTGTAATTAAATATTTCAAGGTAAATGACGCATACACAATTTTTTTTGAAACTATCTGCTGTTAAATTGTTTTGTAAGATGTGACTAAAACAAATAATTGTCCATTCTTCACAACACCACCTAATTAAATATTGATATGAAGAAGTTGTTGTGTCTAATAATGAAGGTGACTTTATGACAGTAGTTTTATTATCACTGAAAACCTCATTGGAGTACTTATTTTTGTTGTTTTTTCTCCAACCGTACAAAATTTGACTCATTAAATATAGTGTTATTTAAATTAATGTTTCTGAGTAATAAAAATAAATAATCACATATTGTCATTTATATTTACCATTCATTTTATATTACAGTAACTTTGAATTAGTTAAATGTATATTTTTAAATAGGACATTGAATGTAAATGCTAGAGCCATTGTAAGAATAAGTCAGGCTGTAGCAAAAAATATGATTGATGCTGGTATCAAAGGATCAATAGTTAATATTTCTTCAACTATATCAACGGTTTATTAATTTTCATTTTAATATTTGTCAAATATTATGTTGATGATTCATTTGATAAGTATTATTTTTTTCAGCGAGCCATTCCAGATCATACTACTTACTGTGCTTCAAAAGGAGCTGTTAACCAAATTACTAGAACTATGGCTATTGAACTCGGAAAATTTGGAATACGAACTAACAATGTGAATCCAACAGTTGTAATGACTCGAATGGGTAAAATTGCCTGGTCCGATCCAGCCAAATCTACACCAATTTTAAACCGCATTCCATTAGGAAGATTTGCCGGTATAATGATTATTTCAAAATTAAGCGAAAAATTAGTTGATTATTTACAATATAATTTTTTCTAGAAACTGATGATGTTGCAAATGCAGTAATTTTCATGTTGAGTAATTACTCTAGCATGGTAAATGGGACAGCTCTTGTGGTCGATGGTGGATTTTTATCTGGTTAGACTTATAAAATCCTAGGATGATATTTTAGTAAATGATTTACTATAAAAGCATTCATCAATATTTATCCACATGAATTTAAATATTGTTCTCATGTTCATTTTGGACATAAAAAATACTACATTTATTTGTTATTTTCCAAAGCATAATAATGTTATTTAATTTTATACATAGAATTATATCATTCACCGCTAAATTTTTAATTTTAAACAATTACTATTTTTATTAATTTATACTTTTACATTGCCATTTATGTGTAAAAAAAAGATTCATGTTATGTGATAGTAAAAATAATTTCGATATTGAGATTATTTTTAACAATTAAAAAGTTGTATTTAAAAAATATCAAACATTGTTATTAATTTGAAAAAAGTATTTTTTATAAATAGTACTGTGTTCATCATAAAAAAAGACTAACTACTATAAAAATATCATAAAAAAATTGTTGTTAAAAAGTTAAATATAACATAATAATTACAGGTATAATATTAAGTTATATTGTATAATATAAATACGATTGATCGCTTGTTATGACTATCATTAGCGTTATTCAAAATGATTAGATTGTTATAAAATTAAAATGCATATCACCTTAATAGTTTTATCAGTTTTTATGTATTGTGGATTGCATTAGTAGATACTGTGAAATAGAACAAAAATTAAATTACAACTACAAAATGAAGATTATAAGTGAATGTCACAAGAAACACCTTGTACGTGTCATTGTCAATTAAATTAATTAAAGTAAATTAAATTAACGGATTTGTTAATTGACATATTTGTAATCTTCTAAATTATTAAGTGATCATTCAAATTTTAAAAATAGCTACCCAAATCTATGCGATAGTTTGTACTATGAATATTGCATACGCATTTTTATTAAAACATTTTTTATTTTCAAAAACGACAAAAAAACTTAGAGAGAATATCTCTCGTTAGATAAATGTTAATAATCAGTACCATTTTTTTCTTTTATTTTTTTTGTTCAACATCAGTAAAAAAATTACTTTTAAATAATTACTCATATCGTAGTTAAATCTATGCTATACATTTTCTGTTATTGATTTTTTAGTGATACATTCTGGAAACTAAAATTAAGTACCTTAAATGCAATGTGATTGTTAATATTAAATTAAAAATTAATTAAACGAAGTATAAAAATGAATTAATAAAAATTTACCTAAAAAGGCCTGTTTTCATTATGAATAAAATTTCTAAGAAAAAGAATTTTTTTCATCATTAAATTGAAAAAATTGTGATAAATATTTCTATATTTTTATTTTAAAGCTTCCTCGTACAATAAATAGATCTATACAAAATATTTATGCAGAACATTTTTCTATACATTTACATATTTTTTTATACATTTTTACTAAATTACAAGAAATTAAACACTTATTCGTTATCGAAAAAAACTGATCAATTTGCTGTTATATGTAAAATATTATCTATTTGGCACGACAAAACCTCTTTTTAAAAATTATATACTATTTTATTATAATATAGAAATATCTGTAATCTACACAAATTGTATTATAAATGCTAAGAAAGACAATTGCATAAATGCGAATATCATGTCAAGAAAGTCTCAATTGACACAGAATATTATACTTACAAAAACAATAATAATCGTTCAGGAAAGATAATATGTAGGCTAGTTTCTATTTAGTTTTGTTTAAGTTTAGATCGCTCATTAAGAGACAAGTTTTTGTGTTATAGTAAGAGTCTGAGTCTTAAAATCTGTAGTGTAGTGTCTTCTCCGATTACGCTAATTACAAAATTCGACATTATAAAAAATTGTTGATTATAGTTATTAAAGATATTAGTTTATCAATTAAATTGCTTTAAATTATTAGAATTATTTTTAAAAATTCATAATAAATACTTACTTTTTATAATTGAACTTATTATTTATTAGTACTGAATGTTTCAAAGTTTGAAAAATAATGTTAAAAAAAAATTTCATTGGAATACGATATAAATCTAATGATCTATTTTTTTATAAANATATTAGTTTATCAATTAAATTGCTTTAAATTATTAGAATTATTTTTAAAAATTCATAATAAATACTTACTTTTTATAACTGAACTTATTATTTATTAGTACTGAATGTTTCAGTTTGAAAAATAATGTTAAAAAAAAATTTCATTGGAATACGATATAAATCTAATGATCTATTTTTTTATAAATTACTATCATAATTTTTGAAAAGTTATTACATGAAATATTTACTGATTTATGTATAATTATATATCATAAGCATTCCCAGAAATGACTTTAAGTATTTAAAATGTTATTTAAGTAAAACAATTTGTTATGTATGAATAAAAATTATGTAATGAATGAATTTTATAAAAAAAAAATCCATTTTCAGCGAAGTTAAATAAACGTTTTCGATGATAACTCCTAGTTAGCTTCATAAAAAAAAAAAATTTAATATAGAACCTTTATTTTTTATAAAATAAAAACAATAACATTTGCGATAGAATAAAAATGAATTCATAAAAAAATGAGCTTTTAATTTTACAAGTATTAACATAACCATACTTAATTTTATAATTACATTGGAGTTGTATAAAATAATTTAAAATGTACTCACTGTCAATACATTAAAATAATAACTGCAATAATTATAGTTAAAAATAAAAATCTCAACAGTTATACGCATTTAACATGCAAATCTTTCGAGGCCTAAAAGAATTTATCAACGTGAACATTAATTTACATATTAAAATGAAATTTTAAGACTTCTTGTTAAATTATTACAGAGTGTGTACAATAGTTATTTTTTAGCTATCGATATATTAAGTTTTAGATTGATGACACACGTGTGTCTAAATTTTCCAAAATTNTTTTAGATTGATGACACACGTGTGTCTAAATTTTCCAATACAATAAGTACTTTTCAATTATTTGTAATGAATATTTTATTATAATTTCGATCGTGTGATTCGATCTTTATTAATATATACTAATTACATAAGTACAACATAATTATGAATATATACACTAATTTAGTAACAACAACTCTAATCAATTATTTAAACAATAATGTATATTAATCAATGATAACATGGTACAATATTATGATATAAAATTTGATTTAAGAAAATTATAATTTGATTATGGGTCTTACGTGTAAGCGTATGATAACGTGTACTACTTATTTACATGTTACTAGATATAAATAGTATTTACTAAAATTAATATGTGGTCAATCTATAGCAAAAGTTTGAGAGTAGAAATTTAAAATCTTTGAATAAATGTATCATGTTTTAGTTTTGAATTAAACATTTCAATACAACCCAGTGTAATGTACGAAAACAATTTAGTCGCTGTCGAGCACCGACCAAAAAGAATGGACGTGTGACTCCTCTCTTGGTACGAATATTTGTTATTTTTTTTTCACGAAAATATCAATTCATTTTTTTTTTTGTTGATTTCACATTAATTATTTATTAGTTACAGTTTGCAGTGAGCGATCACGGTGCGTTTGAATTGCGTGTCGTCCTCATACTCTTCACGAACGCCGGCAGAAATACTGGCCAGCGGCGTGTCCGGTACTGGCTGCTGCGGCTGCCTGGGCGTGCACTCATCAGATAGAACGAAATGAATTCCCCGGGCTGTCCCGGGACGCGTAAAAGCTCAAGTAGAAACACAACAACAACAATACAACTGACGATCCAAGCATATAAACGGACCATGACAGATGACAAGTTCCTGTGTAAAACAATATCGGTTGATTACAAAATAAAGATTAATCATTTTATTTATTCCAAGAAATAAACGTATTATCGTTTACAAACGTTCAGTGTTTTCGTTGTGGTTTTCACCGTGACATTTTTTACTCGGGATGTAATTTACTTTTATTTTACTCGCTGTTAATTACATTTTGTTTAGATATAAATATTTCTACCGTTAGATGCCGTTATCGATAATGTTTTTTTTTTTTCAATCGGTAAAAAACAATAAATGTTTATTATTTATGTAGAAGTCATCAGTAAAAGAAAAACCACATAATAGCCAATCTGCTGTAATATTTGCAACATACCATTTAAAATGGTTTTTTCTTTTATTCTTTATTCTCTTTTACAACGATATCAATCACATTTTTTTCGTTGTAAATGTATGGTCGTCAATTTGTTAATAAAATTTTAAAAGTGCAATATACTCTAGACGTTTCAATCAATTGAAATTTACATTTTATATGTTCCATAACATATAGGTGAAATTGATTAATTTTTTCAAAAAAAAAAGTTGTAATATTCTGTGTTGTTTATGGCGTGACATTAGGAATACAATTAAAAATAATATTTATAATTTATGATATGTTAAATAGTACGAATTTATTTATTTACCGATTTTAGCTCTATTATGTGGACAGTAAAATTTTTTACCTTCAATTAAACTGAGATATTAACCACCAGAACTGTTAAAATTAGTAAAATCAATAGTGTTTATTTACCGAGTTTATACGGTCCAGAAATGTTTCCACATGATTCTTTCACTTCTCGATTGTCCCAGCCAATAGGATAAAATGCGCCTCCACCACTTACCAATGCCGCTAAAAAAGATAAATAAAATATAATAGCGTTTCAACTTATTTAACTTTACATTTTAATTTAATTGAAAAATTGAGCCAATGACTCAAATAATATTATTACAATATTTCATCTCGGCTTAGTGTATCTTTTTAAAAACATTAACCTACTCTAATCTCATTTATTGTTGGACACTATGCATAATATTGATTTTAAATTATACAGATCGTATATTATAGATAAACTTAAAAATTTTAACTCTACTACCATTATATCTTTTTTTAATGTTATCTCAAATTTTGGTACAGTAATATGCCCACAATAATTGCCATCGGGTGATGTACTACACATTTAAATTGAAATAAAGGATTAATATGCAGGATTATATAAATTATTAATATTAAAGGATTAATTAGGGTGCTAAATATTACAATGCATTAACGATTTTTCGTGGCCCTTAATTTTTTATTTATTTATTCTTTAAAAGAAAGAACCTTTTTCATGCATTTTATATACGCGTGACGAATTCTTTAAGCACAGCGCTTTTAGGAACTGCGTTGGTTGCTTAGTGTGTAATATATACTGTCTAGTGACAGTATTTTTACTGTGTTCGATTTGTTTTTTAGATCCACCACTACTATTTTTTTTTCTAATTATTTAGCATATTATTATTACAAACTTATTGAGCAATAATATTCATAAAAAGAAATTTTTAATTTATATTTTTATAAATTTCCATTTAAAGTATAACATATATTTATGGTGCATACTTATAGTACATTTCGCACATAGAAAAAAAGTTCATACTTTAAGTACTCCTGTATTAGGTGATTCAAAAAAAGATAATCATCGAAAACTTAATGGAACCCTTTTTTAACTATATTAATTACATTAAAATGGACATTTTTAAAAAATGAGATTTTTAAAAAAATGTTTACTGGTCGCTTAACTTGTTTTTAGTATTTTGACCAAAAATATCCCGAAAAACAAAAAATGTCCTCTAATATTCAATTTTTGGTAAAATATTATGATAAGTACATCAAAATAGTTCAATTATTACTGTAGAATACAAATTATTCAGATTAAACATTTTAAGTCCGTAGTAGATAGCGGAGATATCATAATTAGTCTCATTATATGGTATATTTCTAATAGGTCTAAGTAAGCTAAAAATGTAAAAAAAAAATATACTTTTGAATGAGAGTGATAAGTAATAATTGCCTTATCTAATTTCTTATCATGGTATTAATGCCAAGTTTGTAATGTATACACATTATCATCATATGTATACACAGTAATCATGAAAAGATAGCGTTTTCTTCTGTCCTTTTCTCAATACGTATTTCAATGTTTAATACCGTAAAATAATACATGAAAATTCAAATTTTCACAAACTTCAAAACGCTACAGAATATTTACTACTGAATATTAATAAGATATTTTTTTACTAAAATTTTTCTTAAATTCTACTCTACAAAATAGCTATCTTAGATTTTTTTTTTTTACATTTTATTTAAAATTTAAAAATAATTAATATTTTTAATAAAATGTAAAAAAATTAATTATTGAGATATAGCTATAGACCTAACGTATAACTATTATTTAAAAAAAAAATCAACTAAAAATATTAACTGGATCAAAAGTTATTTAAGTTGTCATTGAGTGGTGGGCCACCCTGTATATAATAAAAAATGTTGTACACTAATCTTTTTAAAAAAAATGTACCTTTTTTATAAATAAAGCATAAGTCAAAATATTTTATTATAGCATAAAATTGTATTCTTATGTTATTTATTAGAGGTCGGCCTCGCCTAGTGAGTAGAAACATGTGTTTTGGGGCATGGGGTCTCGGTTGTATCCCAACAAAATTTTTCTGTGATTTTCTCATTGGTGTTGTCAGTTTTCTTGTGCTAACTGGCCATAATACCTGTGTCGTGCATCATTAGCTTAATCAATCTTTGATTCCATGTGAAAGAGGGAAACTTATGTAGCATGTTAATTTCGGTAAACAGAACGATTATTTATTTCATTATTTTTTTCGTATATTTTAATTTATTAGAACTTACAAAATTAGAATATAATAAAATTCCTGTTAGAATTACTCGACTCGAGATATAAAATGTAATGATTTTGAAAAACTTGAACTGAGAATTCTATTTAGATTATATGAATTAATTAAAATTATTTTATATAAATTAATTAAATAAAATATATAGTTAATTAAATAAAAAATATATATTTCAACCGTCATTTATTAATATTTTACAATATTTTAGCTTACGCGTATAAAAAGGCATCATTTTTTAAAGATAGTGAACAATATTTTTTTCTATTTGTTGTATACTTAAATATCAGAATAAATGCAAAAATGTTTTGATTTTTAGCTTACTTGAAACCTATTTAGAAATATACAATATAATGAGATATTATGGTATCCCCGCTATTTATTGACATTTATTTTTTATATACAGAGTGTACAAGATTATTAACAGTAGATAAAATCGATATTATGAATCATCTATAAAATGTAATTGTAATCATTTTCAAATATTTTGCAATTTTATTCATCCTGACATCAATTTAACCCTATTTCCATAAATAATATGAAAAAAAAAATGATTGTTCATAAAAAATTAATTTTATGACTTTTGGAGTATTATTCTACTTTTGTAGCTTTGAATATTTAAATTATATACTCGAACAAAAAGTGAAAAGAAAGGAAATGAAATTGTTGAAACCGGTAAATATCTGACACACTAATACATTTTTTCGCCATCTCGTTCAGTTAAACACAACTTGGATAATATAAATGTCGGATTTAGGTAAAACACATGAAATTTACAAAATCGAAAATGTAGTTATTGTTTGACAGTTTAATATTTAATTTATACATATGTATGTCTAAGTATGTATATTTGCACTCTGTTTGGGTGGCCCAAGTGGTTAATCAAGTATTGCGACCACGTATTTCAACCCGGTGCTATTCACATCCTTGTGAAGTTGTACAAACATCTATAGCCCTACGAGGTCTATTTCCCCGAGCAATATCCGAATAATATAAACGAGGAGGCTTCTCAGTTTTTGACAACAGACTAGGGTAAAGATTAACTACCAGCAATGCGTCGAGTTAAATTCATATGCATTTCTAGGATCTGATAATATACTGCCCTAGAGTGTTAGCTACCAAGAGTCGGATAAAGACCAAAATATATGTTTCGACTACGACAAACCGATGGAAAGTGTAGTAGAGCAAAAGCAAATCAAAAGCACACCAATAGGTTGTATTTAGCTTCAAAACTGTTATTGGACGGCACGTTAACAGAGCAGTAATTTCCATTCACATACCTCTGCCCTTCTATAACGCCAAATAGCTTAGGGTTATATAGTAACTTTGAAAGGATGGTAGGTAAACATTGATGTAACACGTATAATGAATTGGTAGCCCTTTATACCAGACCGCATAGTTAAATAGCCCTACCATAAATCACATAAATAAAGGTGTTGATAAAAAGTCCACTGAAAAACAGAAACATCAATTTTATTCCGACAGTGTTTATTGACAATCAATGTCACTCGAATAAAACAAATTCTATTTTTTATTGATTCACCTTGGATATTTAAGTTTAAAAATAAATGTAATTTTGAGTACATCATATTATAAACAATATCTTTCACAATCTACGACATAGACATGTGTTATTATGTTAGTTTGGTTAATATCAAAGAATGCACAGGATAAAAGAATAATTATAACAAAGAAACAAAACAGTTCATGGTCAATGACATAAAAAATATAATTCTTAAATAACTATAATATTTTCATATACATATAATGAAATAAGAAATTGATCAATTCTATTAATTTAATTAAATATATTAAATATATTTTTGTTAGAATTCTTCATTTGTAACTTAAATATTTACTACATAATTTAAACTATAATAATTTTATTTGAAAACTATTTAAGGTATTTTTATTGGGTGTATTTGAATTGCGGTAAAGGGACTACAATACTAGCAGTGTCAAGTTGAACCCTTGTGATTTATACGGGTACATCAGTATAATAAGCTAACTGTGATTGAAATACAGTCGGTGTTACAGGCGTCAATTGAATGGCAAAATTGAGCAGACGTGACGTTTTGACAAACATTACAATACTATTGAGGTACTTTATATGGGAGTAAGGAGTATGATTTGATATGATTAGTAACAAATCAAAATGCGACAATAAAGTTCAAATTGAGAATCATCATCATTGTTTTATATTTTAGTTTAAAAACTAAACTGATTTAAAAAAATAAAATTATTAAATGTAAAAATTATAAGACCATTCTAAATATCAACTGAAGAATTAAAATTTTTAGTTTGATATTTTTGATGGACTTAGTTGTTGGGCTTAATGGGCTTTGTTGGATGAAGTTTTAACGATTATTAAAACTTAAATTTTAGTGAATATCAATAAGATAATTCTATTTCAAAACAAATAATAATACCAATTCGATTGTTTTTAGTAAATATTTTTCTATAACTTAATTTGAATGATTGAATAATTATTCGATTTATAAAATTATTGTGTCAGGAAAAGGAAAATATTTTAACCAAAAATTCTATCCTGACGATAACATATTTTAATCAACATAATTTGAAAATTTCAAATTACGGATCTCAATGAAATATATTTGTGAGAGTTATATGATAAATTTAAACGCACAGCGTATTCTATGACTACTCGGTAGTTATTTTACTTCAACATATTTTTGAATACAATCGAAATATTCATTGTTAACAAAGTCCTTTGTGCTAAATATTACCAACATCTAATTATATTGTTTAAAAATTTAATAATCAGTATGTAGAATGTACAATATTCTCCACTAAATACCTTTGTTGTGTAACATATATATGTTGTAGTACAAAGGTTTTTAGATCTTTAGGCTTTCTAGTCTTCTAATGTGTATATGTGCATCATAAGAGAGCAGAGAATCAAGTTATTTAAGTATGAAATAAATTATACCACGATAT